ACACACTTCACATTCAACCTCAATGGCTTGCACACAACACACATGCTTGCCTAGTAGTAAAATGACAGAGCTATCTATTTAGACAGCCATGTGATATATTACAAATCCTCAGGGCAAGAAGAAATTGATATTTTAATTTCTTTTGCAAAGCCACAACCTGTTTAGTCTCAACTAAAACACCTAAATTGTTTGTTTTTTTTTTCGTCAGCTCTGCATGTCACCACTTCCCTATATAATATGCAAAGCTTCACATTTTTAACATCTTTGCTTGAAATACCACAGAAAGCACAACACGAAATTACTTTCAGAGACCATTATTTTCAGAAGTTAATCTTTCCCTCAGTAGAGCAATCAAGTAGACAATATGAGCAAACATTTACAAACGTTTACCTATCCTCTTCTTGCCAATTGAATAGTTTGATCAGAATTTATTGCACATCACCATCTGTTTAGTGGGCGAGAAGCAGGGAAGCTGTTCACTTTTTTTATTGCGGCATGGAGCATTGTTTCCACATTATCAAGCTCATCAAAAATAACTATGATAGTATCGCTAACACTAGGTGCAGCAGTCAGCCAAGCACAGTGTTTGAAAGGAGTGTCACATGATAACTGCTCAGTTACAATCTGTGAAACCTGCCAAAACTGCCTATTTCAACTGTGCACTTATTGTTTGAGACGCAGAAATGCACCCTTTCCACTTTTATCATGCGAAATGCTAAATGGTCCGTTTCACAGCACATACACATTGTGTCAAGTGTTTGAGGCATGAAATTGAATAGACTTCTGCTTCATGAGCAAAGCTGTGTACTGCTTAAGACATGCACTTTAAAATGTTTGTTTTAAAAGGCAAAATAATTATTGATTATTAGACAGAGCTTTCACAACATGATTAATGATTTGTGGATATCCAATATGGATAGCCTTGGCAGACTCATCAAAGCCTTAAAAATGGCTCGATGCATCATGAGCCCTTCGAGAGGATTCGAATGGCACAGTGCACTTATGATGACTAAACATTATAACACTCTGAAAAGTATTTGACAGTCACATTGCACAGGTCTCAACATAATATAGCACAAAGGAATATCAACTGAACCCAGGAGCCCCTCCAAACAAGTGCGAGTTTTGAAAACATAGGGGTCCCCATCATGCAGTAAATGTCACTTTTGTGCCCCAATTTCTTGCTTGTAATAACTTCACTGAAGTTTGCCTCCTAACAACAATAAACACGAAATGAGCTTTCCAAACAACCTTCCAAGCAGAGATTCTTCCTCCTTGCCACACTATAACCAGCATAAAATTCATCAACCCTTACATTACATATAGGTTACTTCGCATGCCTGGCATAAAAATGCTTTTTACAATATCCCACCCCAACTATCGAAATCATGCATGCTTTAGGTAGCAATGCTTTCTTGAGTTTAACTTTAGTGTAACATCCCCAATTGTCATCTTTCAACAGCTTAGAAATTAACCGATACCACAGATAACATGAAAAGTCTTATAATCCAAACTTATTTAAAGACAAATTTTCCCCTCTTAGGTAGATGGTAGATTGTGATGTAAACACCGCTCTACAAAGCAGCTACAGAATTTCGAAATGACCTAATTCAGCAAAGACACCTTGAGATTTTTTTGTTCCTGCTCTAAAGTAGCACAACTTGAACCCTTTTATTACAATTTTTTTCACTAAATTAGCAAACATTCTCTTACCTAATGACTCATTCATTAAAAACACCTTTTATTATTCAAATAATATTAGCTTAATAATTATTTTTCTGGTCTTCTATTAAAAACAACTTTTCCTCTCAAGCTGACTATTAAGGTCACAAAAGCACCCTGCATGAAGCACAGCATTTTAAACATGCTTTTGTCATTCTCTATATAAGGCATTATTACTGAGATGGTATTCATAGGAGTTTGCTGAAAGCAAGGGCTTTGCTGATAGGACTTGCTGAAAGCAAAGCACTTTTTCCATGTGAGAAAGGTCACCAGAGGTTTCAAGTTTTCCTCGCAAACACTGATAAGTTGACATTTCAAAGTCTAAAAGTTTACTTAAGACAAATAAATGTCCAAAACTACAACTTCGAAATTGAGGATGATATCACTGCAACTGCCACAATACACAAGCACTTTAAAAGCCATCATGGTGTCAGGCATACACTTCATTTACCCACCAACTGGGCCCACAAAAAACAAAAGAAAATAAAAGAAGCCTTCCGGAAAGCTGGTTCACAGTGCAGGATACCTGAATGAGTGTCACTCATCATTGGCGCACTTCAAAAGCAACACCTGAATGAGCGAGGCTTGTTTTTGGCGCAGAAAGCGCTAAGAACCGTTTTGAAATTTGTCTCCACATTGCTTTTTACATTTGTAGACCTTCAAAGACATAATGAAAGTCATTAGGCAAGCTCAATGCAACATTAAAACCCAGCCTGAAATCACTTTGAAAATCAGAGGACTCACTGGTGACTAAGCAAACTATGGCCATTTGAGCTACTTGGCATCTGCAAACATGAAGCTTGCGCAGTCTACTCCGCAAGTAAAACAATGAGACGTAGCTGACATTTGCAAGCGTAAACAAAACGGCCCTAATGAGCTCAGTGCTGTCTATTCTTACACATCATGAGACATATTGTACTAGCATGATGGAAAGCTCAATGTACATACATTTGTGAATTAAGCAGAGAACCTTTTTCTTTCCGATGTGAAAGCACCTAAACAACTTTAGTTGGTGCATTACCTGGCTCATATACAATGACCTAAGTATGCGAGTAATTTTCTGAATTAAGAATGAAATTTAGTAATTACAGGAGCATGTTGCATCTGACATTATCATAGCAACCTATAAACACATTGGTAGCACCTGACATGTGCACTGTATGAATGATGAAAGTACATTTTTAAATGCATTGTGCAGTCCCATCCATCATGTGTAACACTTTGTAGGCATCAAAGCATCCACAAGTGAAGCCCCTTGTTGTGCAATAAATATCTGTGAAGAACAACTCTAGCGTCTAACTGCACATCTCAGACATTTCTTTATGAAAGAAAATTGCATTGCATCAACCTTTTTCTTTTTTCATTCTGTAGAGCACTTTCCCATAACTGTTCTGACAAACATTAGTATGGCATATACACCAATATTGCATACATTCTTCAATCATGTGTGTGGCACAGCCCTACCACATGAGCTTAGCAATAGTTGTGAACTTTAATTGATCTATGTAAAAGCCGAAAATGACAAACCAACCACATGTTCTTAACAATGCATAGTAGTGAACTTTCACTGAACTATGCAAATGTCAAAAATGACAAGGGTGAAAGCTGTTTTTACAATTCGACTGTGATGGATGGCCACTGGCCATAAGGGGCAGCATTGAATCTATTGTTTTTTGGGCCCCAGCCATGTCAGAGCCACATCACAAAAGCAATTAAAGGGATGTCATGGTGTAGAGTACTCAAGAATTCAAATGTGGCATTAAATAAGTTAGTACGACTCGTATGGGCAATAGCTCGAGATAACCACTTCATGTCGCAATGAATCTGGTCTCTAAAGAAAACGAAGGCTCCGATTTACGCAAGTGAGTTGAAATTATGCCTATATGAACCAGACTGAAGATGGTGGAAACGAAAGTATGGCCTAAATTACTTAGCCTAAATTGTCTCATTTCAATCTGTCAGTACTGTACATTTGAATTTTAATTCACACAGAACAGCAGCATATAACAGCAGCCTATATATATTTTAGGACAGCATGCTGTCTCTAGGCGCAATGAATGAAAATCGAAACTGCTACAGCACTGCAATAAAGTAAGATTTCTTTTTTTGCATTATACTGTGCTCCTAAACTTTAAGGCCCTTAGTACGACCAAGGATATTTAGGTTTCACACATTTTCCCAGTCTCATAATTACCCATCGGATTACACTTTCATTTGCAAATGCATGAGCTTATTTCAGGCAATACAGACCATCAAGATGACACTGCAAGATGTTTTAGCTGCACATGTGTGTGAACACGTTTCTCAATGGCACAAGTATATTGCTCGAATAATGCTAGGTGGCATACACTTCCATGTGTGCCAATATGCACGAAACAGCACTTGAACTTGTAGAGGTGGCAAATTGTGCAGTACAGATAAACATACTTATGTATGCACAAATGATTTATTCCCTCAAAGGATTACTGGACCGGCTAATTTAATAACAGCCAAATGACACGAGGGAGCCGCGATAACCTTGCCTCCTGGTTTGGTGATGCGTGTGTTTACCTATACTCAACTTGTTCACCACATGTTTCCAAGGAGAATACCAATATGGTTGTGGTCTTTCGAATCAATTTAAATCAGTGGCATATCAAGCTTACTGCGACCCTCTCGCTAGAGCATAAGTCCTCACTTAAAGCCTCGTTGAGAAAAACGTCCCATCACGGCCCGCTTTCTGGAAACACTGCTAGACTACAGCCCATTATTAACAACACTGCTACATTAACACACCAGTCGACAACCCTCTGTGCATCGTCCTGTCTTTACCATCTTCGTCAGTGTCCTTTGCGCACTGCAAGTTTCGCCATGTATCACCACCGACACACCGTTTTTACTTCTTTCCAACCTTCTGTGTTCACTCGGCAAATGTTTTCGTACCAAAAGATAACCAACGCAACTCTTCCGTGTATTCTCCGAAACGTGCCCTAATTAACTAAAGATACAGGCACTCAGGCTTACTAGTAGCACCTATCGTACCGCCACGAGCTAAATGAGAATACGAGTGCACACAACGGGCAGCACCGGTCGAACGACGCGCTCGGCTAGGATTTATTCTGATAGCGTAAAATCATCCCTGTGCTTCCGTATTCGAAGACACGTAAATATTCACTACACACTCATTCAGTAGCAAATATTTACCGACAAATATTGCAGCAGCAAAAAGCATACAGGACAAGTTACGTCATGCTTTAAACAAGACTCAAACAGCGATGTGCAGGAACAGAACCACTTACATGAGCGTTCTGAACGCAGTCCAAGACATTAAAATTGTTTTTCAATTGGCTAGGGGAGCACATAAGCCGCAAATCATTAGCGCATGCGGGATCTTCAGCTAGCTTCACAACAGTCGTCGGCTCAACATGCCTTGATTTGTCAGCGGCAACGTCATTGTTCGAACTGCCATGCGGCACACCTTGACCGGCACTGTACGCGAAAGGCGCTTGCTGAAGTACGACGAAAGTGAACAAAAACGCGAACACACAACACCGCGAGTTTCTTTGCCAACACGCCATGCTACTGTGCGGCGTCACCGAAACACGTCCGTCCCTAAACGCCATGTTGTTGACGGCCCGCCTAAATATTGCAAACCCTGTGAACTCGCAGTCATGAGTAGCACCCAAGGAGGATACATAAAACTTGCTGGAGTGAAAGGGGCGCTGTGCGAGTGAAGCCAGCCGCCGCCATCTTGCCAGTGGCAAAAAGCGTGCTCAGTGCCATCGCGAGCTGCTGATTTCGTCCGTTCTTGTTTCACCTTGTCGGCATGTAAAGACAAATGGTTTACAATGGTTGCCTCTTGCGTCGTTCACGGATGTGACAACAGGTTGAAGAAAGGTTGTGGCCTCACATTCCACCTGTACGTACACGAAAACGTCTTCGACATAGCCAGTCCGCGCTCGTTACTAAAGGGAGCTATAGCTGATGCGATCTAAGCGTACAGAACATAACAGTCCGGATTTGTTTTACAGGTTTCCTAAAGATCCCGTAACGCGGGGCCTCTGGGAGTGGGCCGTTCGCCGTGAGAAGTCGAATGCGAAAGACTGAGATCACTTCGCTCTGTGCACTTCGCGCCAGAGGGCTTTGACCGCCTCTTTGACATTGGAGGGAAGCATGTGAACTGGGGTTATGAAGTGGCATTGAAGACACTTCAACGTGAAGAAGGGTTGTTGCTTGGAAACAAACTTACGAAAGTCCACGTCCAATGGGAAAAGCAAGAAATTGAAGGTATGATATGTTGTACAACTGATCGAGTGCCTCAGTTGCCGACGCTTTGGACTTCTGCGAACAAAAGCTAAAGCTGCCGCAATTCAAGGGTGCCAGCACAAGATCTACGTTTATTAGAACTTTTGATCGGTTGTTTGACATCTTATAACTCCAGGAACCCGCTGGCAAGGTCGTACAAAGCGCCCCTTTGGCAGGGGAACGAAGCATTCTAGAAGTCGTTTTTTTGCGGAGACTTGAGCGTACATAAACGGGCTGAGAGATCCGGCCGTGACAGAAGGACTGAAAAAAAAAAACCGGATTTATTGGTTTTTGGACACGCATGGCAAGCACGGAAAGAATGTTTGACAGACTTCTCAGCCAGGGTCAGCTGAAATACTTACTGACACACAAACTCAGTCAAGACTATGCCGAAAACTTTGAATCAATACGTGGATGAGGCGGCCATAACAACAACCCAACAGCTTCGCAGTTTATGGCTGCATACAAGCGTCGGTTCCAACGGAAGTCACGTCTTCAAGTTCTGGGCACTGCTCCGAAGATGTTCTCTCCGTATTGAATGCAACGACTCCTGCAGCCATGGTAGATCCAAGAAGCAATCTCACTGACATGCGCAAGGCCCCAGTCCTGCAGCCCGATGACCACGACAATACGCATCGCACTGACTAGCCCGAAAGCTTTTCTGTTTTTGTCGGTTCCGTGGTGCCATACATAGCAGGCTTCATTGTTCGAAAGGTCGAACTGCAACTACCTGTGAAGAGGGTATAGCAGTCATGCACTCAGATGAGCTGACACCTTTAATTAAATGTAAAAGGCGAGGTGGTCTTGTTTCACCGTCGCGAGATGTCATTAGCCTCTGTAAAGAAGTCGAGGAATGAGGCGGCTACAGACTGAATGTGATTCCATCACAACGGTGAAGTCAAGAGCAAAACACCTCATCCTGAAAGTTCTATGAGCTTCCTCTGAGAAAAACTGGTTCCATAAACTAGAGCAGCACGTCCTAGACTTTGATACGCTTGATAATAAGGTTTACAGTTTGTGCAGGCAAATCGCCGAACAATACGTAAAAGTGAGGATACAACACATGACGAAGGAAAAAAAAACGAGAATCGGTCAAAAGTAAGGTGGGACCACTTTTGACAAGGTCAATAATTTTCAACCACCAATAGGGCACCTATGTTTTCGATGATGTGTTTGCTTTAGGCATCGCTATTTGATGCATATGCAATTTAATTGAGTTCTCTACATGCCACTTGGCTGCGTACAAGTTGCAATAAACATTTACAACCATAATTACTTGTTTTCGTTGCTTTATATAAACACACGAGTCACTTCACCCGCAGCGCGATGAAGCATAAATTTGCAGCGCTCGGCTCTTTTCTGCCACTGGCAACATGGCCGCCGCACGCTCGGCGCGGCTTCACTCTCTCCCGTAGCGGCGCATAGGCGGCTTCCACTCCAGCAAGTTTTTAGATGCGGAGCATCTAATACTCGAGGCTTGTAGTGCGGCGCCGTCCGCAAGCTTCCTCCTCCTTCTTCCACCATCTGTGCATCCCTTCCTCCTCTACACACCGCGCGCGCTTCACTCCTCCACCATCTGTGCACCCTTCCTCCTCTACAGACCGCGTGCGCTTCTCCTCTTCACGAACATTCGCTAGCTGTATAATGTAGCGCGCATGCGCCGTCACGCTTCGAGAACATCGGCAGCTGACGCGCGCGCATGCGCCGTTGCGCTTCTCCCCCTTCTCGAACATTCGACAGCTGACAGTGCATGCGCCGTCGCGCTGTATATATACTCAAGGTCGGTGCTCGCTCGCTCAGTTGCCGCTCGTCGGTTGGTTTGTACGGCGCGTCGACGTCCGAGGTCGCAATGATCGACGTCCCTTCGACCAGCGCCGGCCAAAGTGTTGGCGGAACCGCAACCAAGTCGTCGTCCGAAGACAAGGCAGCGCGGAGAAGAGCTCGCGACGCCGAACGTAAACGTCGGCGTCGCAATACTGTCGCAAGTTCGTCGCAATAAATAAACACCGCCCTTTCGCATACTTGTCGTACGTGTTCACTCATTTAACACCCCTCCTACAACCACGTTAACCAATTTAGCCAGCGACCCAAGTAAGTCGCAATTTAACACCCCATTTCACAACCACGTTAACCAATTTAGCCATCGACCCAAGTAAGTCGCACTTTAACACCCCGTTAACCAATTATATGCTCCGCATCCTCCTCAGTGTTCCCCCGAGGGAAGCTGCGGGCAATTTTTTTGTATCCTCCCGTGGTATCACGGAGGAAGGACCTTTTTTCTTCCTCCGTGCGTGGTATCCTCCTTGGTAGCACCACGGTGAGTAGCACCATAGCCTCCTAGATTTCCCTAGCCTGCCGGATTATCGGCGGTCACTTAAAAAGCGGCCCTCGTGAGAACTATGGTGGTAGCGCCACTTAAGTAGGGGTGTCTTCAAATAAGTTTTTACGTTTTTGGAACTTATATGCAACAAAAATAACGTAAAAAGTTTTAAATGGGCGTAAACGTAATTATAATTAACTCTACGCAAGTTACATCATCATTCAGCAGTCAACTTCTTCAATACAAGGCATAGCCTTTAAAACTAGTAGCAAACGCCAAAATTGCCGATCTCAAAAGCCAAGTACAAAAACCCTTACTCCTACGTAGGTAGCGTCGCCATATATGACGGGCGTTTCGCGCTCATTCGGCAGGCAAGGGAAATCTAGAAGGCAATGGTCGCACAAACCCACCGCGGCCACCGTATGCTTGCGCGCGCGTGATCAAGCCATCGAGCCGCCAACGCCGAACCACCCGCATGACGGCGCTTGCTACGTCTGAGCGCTCGAAGTTAATCTTGAAGGCCATAATTTTGTGCCCTGCAGACATAGAGTTAATTAACTTTATGTCTGTAAGCATAGAGTTAATATACAGATGGTATATTAATTATAACTTACAGCCTGTATATTAGCTCTAAATTTGCAGGAACCCTGGAACCCAAAGATGTCAGCAAAGTTTTTAGAAAAACTTGGTTTTCAAATTCCACATTTACACTTGGCCCATGCCACCAGCAAAAGTCTTCGAAATTCGCTTTTGTTAGTCAGAGCTTTTGTTACGACGTGGATCCCCATGCAACACAAAGGAAGCTATTTCACGTCTAAAAAATGCCTTGAGCGGCAGGGGTACAGCGCCACCATAGCAGGGGCGTAGAGTTCAAGCACGTACGCTTTATGTGTGGCCGTGCGTGCGTTTTTATGTGCAAACAAAACTGGAAAATTTCGGGTAGAAGGTTGAACCCGCACGACAGTAGCGTAGCTCGGGCGGGGGGGGGGGGGGGGGTCAATTTTTTTTATTTTTGCCAAACCCACTATTCACATTTTTTTTTTTCGTCGCTTCGCGCTGACATGATTTAGAAACAAAGCGGTGCTGCTATCGCAATATATTTCCTGGGCGCTTTTACAGTGAATAATGTCTGCAAATGTAAAAGCGTGTCGTGGTGTTTGTCAAGGCTTTGACACTGAAATTTCGGGCAGGAATCTCGGCTGCGAGCGTTTTAAGTTAGCTCGATCGGCGATGAGATTAACACTGCAGCGCATGGTGCTCAAACTTGTATCCGCAGGAACAGATATCACCGTAGTCAATCACTACAATAATTTTCACTTGTGGTAAAAGCACAGTTACAAGGCCTAATAGCTAGGCCATGTTCAAGCATATTAATACAGTGTGACTATTCGAACGTGTGCTGAATCAAGATGTACTCAAGCCAGAGACCAACATATCTTCGCTAATATCCAAAAACGCATACACACGCACGCCCGCGCGACAGAATATTTGGCTTATCCAGTGAACTTCGCTTAATTGTATGCGAGTGTACAATATATAATATACCTTTACTATGCCCTAATTGCTAAAGGCACTCCGAAGTGTTGCCAAGTGAGAAGCTGCTACACAGGCAAACGTGCAGGCCAGTCACAACCTTAGAAAGGCATACTAAAACACTCATCATATGTAAAATAAAAAGATGGTGGTCATAAACCAAAAGCAGCATAATGAGAAATGTCAGCATAATTAGCATAATGAGAAATGGATGGCCACGCTAGCAAATGAGCTAGCGCGGCCGTCCACAGCGGAACAGCATCATCTGAGTGTGTGCGCTATAAATTTAGTTTCTCAGTATGAAGTGCAGATTATTGTTGTTGGAAGTACTGCATTTTCTAGATTGCAATGCCAAGCGTGGTATTGTCGAAGGTGAAAGTGTCCTTGCTGCCGAGTTTTGCTTGTCGCGAAGGGCAAGGTCAACGATGAAATAAATGGTTTTGCACAGTTCACGTGTGAATGTCTGGACGCATATGCATGACACCCCAGTGCGTCTGCGAAGTGTTCTTACAAAGCCTGTGATCTCCGGAGGCCAAACCTACTGCATTGCAGGCTGTTTTGCTGAGTGCGAACACGTACGGCCGTTCTCATGAGTTGTGACGTAAATGCTCCAGTGCTGTCACAGGTTGTGCGTGTTATTCAGCAAGGCAGACAAGCTGTTTTCTAGTTAGATGGGCTAATGCACGCAGTCGGCACTTGCCATTGGGCATCGTTTATCAAGTGCTGATCGCCTAGAGCATTACGGTGACATGAAGCGGCCTACCAGTTACCTCGTCAGGTGATGCTGCTACACTGAGTGACATAAAAACGTTCCCTGTTGTATGCGGCGGGATACGTTGCAGCGCGCCTTTCTGTCATCATAACTTTGTTAAACCGTGGAAATAAACATTCCTGAAGCGTGTGCCAGAGAAACCGATGCAGCCAGCTGCATTTGAATTTTTCGTGCCCTTTTGCACCTCGCCGATTAATAGCATTAAAGGGCAACTCACCAGGTATGACAATTTTGAGCGGACACGCGCAATGCGTAGATGAGGCGTTCGTGATCACGTCTGCGAAAGTTTGCAACGCTACGCGCCACGGAAATGGGTCAAATTTCAAGATGAACGCTGCTCCCACTTTCTTTAGCGGGTGCGTGCCCAGAGAATGAGGGTATGATGTGCGTGTATGAATGGCCCTACGTACACGGCAATACAGTGACGTTGATTCTCTACGTGAACGAATATGCTTTGACATTGCCAACAGTGGCACGTTACACGGCGAAAGTTATTTTACACAACATGCGTAGTTTATGTATTTGTTGCTCAGAGAGATTATTAAATCTATATTTTAATAATGAGACGCAATAAGGGAATGTGAGCGTTCTTCTTTTTTTATTTTTTCCCCGGTAAATTACATCAAGATGCGGGGATAATGTGCCAGGAGGAGGAGAAAAACTTTATTCATCCCAAGAGGGAAAGGTGCGGTGGTGGAGTGTCAGAGGAGCCTACCCAGCGTAGGTCTCCGCTACCCTCTTGGCCCAATCCAAGATTTGGTCCTGGACCTCGGGCGCCGAGCTGCACATAGCAGCCTCCCACTGCTCCTTACTATTAATGTGTAGAGAATTGGGTGGTGGGTTTTGAGTGCACCCCCACATGATATGGTCTAGGTTAGCTCTTTGTTGACAGAAAATGCACAAAGGGGAGGGGTATATCGCAGGGTGTATAAGATGGCGAAAAGATTGGGTAGGAAACGTACGGGTCTGTAACTGGCGCCATAGTATTTCATGGTAGCGCGAAGCTCCATGATGTAAGGGTGGGTATAGTGTTTCGCATGCGTTCGTGTCCCCGTGATTCCGCGGTCTGCGCATCGAGCAGACGACAGGCGTGGAACGCTCCTACGCGTTCGCGCACTCATTGTGCTGATACCGCGTCTAAGCCAGCGTTTCCAAATTATCCCGCAGGAAAAGTCAGTAGACCACGACACGAAATAACACTGCACGGTCCACAACAACAACAACACACACACACACAAAAAAAAAACGCCGCTCGCGCGCACGGGGGTTGGGCTTGTTCGGGCACGTCATGCGCACGTGACCTCGTGGTCAGGTGCCGGAGAGGGTAGGGAAGAGATTTGGCTTGCGAATACTACGTGGAGGAACGGCAAGGGTTTCGAGCTCGCCTCCTCTCATCCTTGTTTTCTGTTTTCTGTTTCTCAGCTCGTAAAAAAACTGTTTTCTCAGCTCGTAATGAACCGATTAAAAAATTTTTGTGGGAAAACGTTCTTCATCGGACACCCAACAACTTACACGGTCTAACTAAAATTTGGTATGGGGCCTGGTGAGTGGCCCTTTAATTCGCAAAACACTTTATCATAATAAATATAGCCAATTCTGCGAGGGTCATCAAACATCCAATATCAAAGGGCCTGTGGACAGGACCACCAGCAGCAAGTCAGGCTGACGGGAGGCTGATGAGGAGGCGCAAATGTTAAAACAATACTTGCTTGATCAAAAAGAAAAATAAAGACTGCAATGGGGCTGGAATCACCGACCTCAGCCGTCCTTTATGTGCCGCGCTAACCAACTACGCCACAGCTGTTGATCGGTTCGGATGGTCTAACAAGCCGGTTTTGTATTGTTTTCACGCTGGACGTAAATAACATTTTTTTATATCTCTACGTTACGTAACTTTAACGGCTTCTATCGTTACGTGTAGCGCTAAAGACTCCGACTATTCAAACAAAGCGCCTAACCGAAAAAGTAGACGACGTCACTTCCGCGCGGCGCAGCAGCCATTTTTGCGTGGAGGTGGCTCGTGCGCCGCCGCTATGGTCCAGAAGCCATTCATCGCTGTACTTCATCCCCTGTGTTCCTTTCCTTTTCGCTGCCTCAAAGCATGTTTGTACCTGCTGCCGCTGTTTCTCAGGCAGCTTAGACAGACTCTCCTGAAGGTTTGATTCAGAGAGGGCAGAATTACTTTGCTTCATTTTCGCAAGCATTTGCTTTAGTTCACTGACTTTTGCCTTTTCTCGCTTCAACTGCTTCCCCGCATAATTAGTTTCTTCGAAGCACGGTAACCAGTAGCCACTCTAGCTTTTCTCTTCTTATAGGATGCTTGGTTCAAAAGCAGTTTTTTTAGATACCTGCAGTGTATACAAGGCCTTTGATCTTGAGACATGCCTGAGCAACTTTTGCTGTACAACTTGTTTCCATGCGTTCTGTATTTTGATTGATTGGAACTGTTAAGCCGCTTCAGTGGAATAGCCCCTTGCTCAAAACCGGAGCACACAACCATCTCGTTGATGGAGTGGAGGAGGCTTTCCACAGCATTCACATCAAACACGTCCACTTTTTTTACAACTTTCCCTTGCACAAACACTACACAATGATAGCAAGTATCCTCGGCAGAGCACAACACCAGTTTCTTGAAGCACACACTATCACCATCTTGAGCACAAACAGTAAACGCAACAGCGTTCGGGGCATCCGCAAGTAGGCACATCGACCAGTATTTGCTTGGGAGCTTCTCACCTTTCATATGCTCCAGTTTTTCCACTGTACACGACGCGTCGGGAACACGTTCACCGTTCGTTGTCACCTCTAAGGAAGAATCGTGCTCCATCGAAGGAAGTTCGTTTTCATCGTTCACTTTTTTTTTTTTTTGCCGAGCACTTCTCCTCTCGATGTCCGGGAGCTGCGCTTCTGAGGAAGCTTTTTAGAGAGATAACTCGGCGTGTTTGGGAAGATCGACGGTATTGCATCGTCGGTAAGGCATGGGCGGCCGCGAGGAATCTTCACAACTTCACCATTCACGATGTGGGTGTAATCTCTCACAATAAACCGTTGCTCGAAGTGTAACTGGCACAGGACTGCAGTTCGGTCTAGCAGTTTGTCACCACGTGGAACGTACCGCTGCCATGCTTTCAACCGGTCCTCATCGTTCGGTACGGTAAAAACAGACCTTTTTACACCTGCCTTTCGGGCTGAAACGTACCCGGTAGAGCATCCGGGCGCGAAGCAGTGAGTCTGGCGCTTCACTGGTTTAGCCATCACGATATGCGGTGTGAATAGGCTTCAAAACTTCGAGCATCGTGCGAACAGTACGAACGCAAGCCGCGGACACGCACGTGCTCCGCTTCGGCCCACAGGGGCATCTAAAAAACGACACACGCGCCACCGCTCGTCGGCATGAACAACTGACACCCTCTCCGCCAACCTCCGCAGCGCGCGATGCTCCCACCTCCCCCTTCTAGCCACCATACCGCAGCAGTATTCTAGCCATTCTAGCAGCAGTCTCTGTCTTTTAGCATAGTTTTTCCTAAAATTAACTAGAGGAGACTCTGTCGCTGCGATCGTTCAACGACCATGGGAATGATGGGTACACGACCTCCTCTATAAACTTATAGAGGAGGTCATGACTCATGAATGGGTAGTACTAGTACACACATTTGCCTAGTCATCGTACTTGCTAGCGGCGAATCGTACTTGCGGATTAGTTTATTGCCGTGTTTCCGTTTTGTTTTCAAAGAAAGATTCAACCCTTTTGAACTTCGTGACCCGATTTGGAAAATTAAGTGTAAAAGAATAAAGTGGTGAAGCCCGACCGCTGAACATTTGCTGATTTTTGTTTCGTGAGAAAACAGCTCAAAGCCAAACGAACACACACGGAGCCAAAAGCAGGCCAGACGTACGAAGATTAGACAAATGTGTGTACTACCCATGATTCCCATGCTCGCTGAAGCGCCGTGCGGGCAGCTCCCATAGACACTAGCGCCAGAATTCCCTCTAGTGTATATTAGGAAACTATGTTTTATAGTACCCGCCACGGTGGTCCGGTGGTTATGGTGTTCCATTGCTGACCCGCAGGTCGTGGAGTAGAATCCCTGTCGTATTTTCGATGTAGGTGAAAATGCTCGAGTCTGATGCACTTGGATTTAGGTGCACGTTGAAGACCCAAAATGGTAATATTTCTGGAGCGCCCCACTACGGCGCCTCTCATAATCACATAGTGGTTCTCATAATCGTCTCTCATAATCATCTTGTCGCCAACAGAAGATCAGAGTGTCTATGATGGAGATCAGTTTATTTTTTTTTTCTGTGCTTGTGCTGATGACTCCATCTTTTCAGCGATTGATTTGCCTTTGAATGCTTCTATAAAAGTTGTCGCGCGGTCTTGTAGTCACACTCGTTGTCCTGCGGCGCTGCGAGAACCTGCCCTGTGCCAAAATAGATTAGAAACACCTAACTACTTACCTACTTATAATTATTATTTACTTACTTAATTATTACTTACTTACCTAATTACTTACTTACTTACTTATTTACGTTGTGGCTGGATAGAAGGATGGATGTTATGAGCGTATACCCTTTATAACGGGGCGGTGACATGTGTGCCACTAGGCTCGCAAGAAAAAACGAAAAGAAATTTTTCGTTTTATGTTGGCCTAATGCCTTATCTACTTCAATTAAATTGATCTTAATATAACAAAGAAATATATAAATTTGTGTTCCATCTCTCTGCCTCTTCGGGTAGAATGACCTCATTTTCCCACTATAGGCTGGTCATCGCTACTATTCTGTCACCAGTACTCTAACCGTCTCTTATTCAATTCTATCGTGGACGTGTTCAGCTTTCCGTGTTTGTCCCTGATACCCAAAGCCTCATGTAGGCTTGAACCCACACGTATACCGGGGTGGATATCGCCGCATTCAATCAAAACACGTTTCATAATTTCCTTAAAACGCTTTATAAGTCGTATTAACGCGATTGCTTTCCCGACATCAAGCCCGCTTAAGGCAAGTTTGCCATCAAGTCCGAAGCATCGGCGTAGCTCAGTGGTAGAATACTATTCTAGCACACAGTGGACCCGGGTTCAAGCCATACTGTGGAATTGGTGCTAGGTTTCTTTTGTTGTTTCGTGCGACAGTGGTTGCGTACACTGGTGGCGGTGGGCAACGACGGCTCTGCGCGAGACTTGAGTTGTGATCCCACAACAGCTTTCGCTGTGAAAAGGGCGAAGCGGCCACAGGATGAAGTCAACCAAATAGAAAAAAAAAACATCGTGCAGAAATTGGTCGAGGCAACTACGCTGGATGGCAGAGATTCGCGAAAAGAAGAAAGCGGTACCTAGAACATTTTGGAGCCACGTAAAAGCGCTTGGTAGGAAGTCTGTCACAATGCAACAACATATGGTAGATGAAAGAGGAAATGAATTGGAAGGGTACGAATTGCACTAGGCTATATCTGAAATGTAACAGCAGATTCGTTTAAAAAGGTCGCCCAGGGGACTTTCTCGTAGAGTAAAAGTATGAAAAAAAGTGCAATCGAGGAAGAGGTATAGTACTTGAGGATTTCAATTGGAAGTGAGCCGAAGGGAAAATACTTAAGCGCACTACTCCGGGCTTAGATGGGGTTCCCGATCGCTTCATTAACGAACTAGTCATATTGTAAAAATTTAGCGAAACCTTGGCTCTCGCAAACACTCACACATCCACCCGAGCGTAATAGTGGGGTGGATGTGTGAGTGTTTTCGAGAGTCAAGGTGGCGCTAAATTCTTACAATATGACGAATAACCAACTAGCCTAACAACAAGTTTTATTGAGCTATATTTAAGGAACTAGGACTTAGCACTAAAGAATTCATGCACTCTTAATGGTGCCCCAGCCACTCATGTTTTTCTTGCTTTTTTCGTTCCTCTGTTCGTTTCGTCAATAATATTTGGGTTTTTCTTTTATTTTTTATATGTTCTTTGCAGTGTTTTGTTGTACTTATGATTGTTAAAATTTGTTTTTTTAGTCTGTATTCCTATTATTTGTATAACTTATTACACGCTGCTGCATTTTACTTGTGCATTTTTATCACATTTCCTGACAGGAGGTCCCCCTTCAGCCAAGTGCTTTGGGACCTCCTTCTGTATGTTTATGTAAGCATGTATGTTTTGTACGAAAGTAAAAATAAAAAATAAACTGAAACTGATGAAACTGAATCACTGCTGAAATCCGTAGAAAAGTGCTTACATGAGAAGTAAATACCAGACACTTGGCGGAAAAGTAGAATAAACTTTATCTATAAAGGCAAGAGGGAAAAGGTTAACATTCGCTTGCATAGACCACTAACCGTTACATCTGTGCTATACAGGTTGGGGATTTTGGCAGTAAAATTGAAAATAGAAACGTGAACAGAGAAAAATAATATTTTGGGAGGAAACTTCAGGAAATGGATTTCAAGTCGACAGATGGTTAGACCCCTTAGTATTATAACCTGTATGGAGTATTATAACCTGTTCGTTCTTACTCAGTGTATAAAAATCTCTAAAATAGAAAAGGGGTCCTTATACATAGCTTATCTGGACATCACTGGGGCGTATGACAACGTTAATCAGAAAATTTTGTATGACATATTAAAGGAATTGGGCAGAGGTGATGACTGTATACATCTTTTGAGAGAAATATACCGAGAAAATACAGTTTGCGTGAAATGGGAAAGATTAAGTAGCAATGACAACGTTGAAATAAACAAGGGGCTGAGACAGGGATGTCCTTTGTCCCCACTGTTATTCATGCTGTACAAGGTGAGGATGGAAAAAGCGCGGGAAGGTAACGACATGGGGTTTATTCTGTCACACAAACAGGCTGGCGCGATGGTTGAGCAGAAGCTTCCCGGTCTATTTTTTTGCAAACGATATTGTCTTATTTGCGGACAGTCAAGACGGTATACAGCGGCTGGTAGATATATGTGGAAGGGAAGGCGAGGCTCTAGGACTAAGATTTAGTGCCACAAAATGTGGATTGATGGTATTCAAGTGACCACAAAGACCAGGTGGTCTCAATACAGGGCCAAGAAATACCAAGGATAATCGAGTACAAGTATCTCGGAGTATATGGGTAAATGAAGGAGATATATGTATGGAGGTACAGGAAAAAACATCGGCAGTAAAGGGAAAGAGAAATGCTCCAATAATGAAGCAGAGAACGTTATGTGGGTATAATGTAGGTATGAAGTGCTTCGAGGTCTGTGGAAAGGCGTAATGATTGCAGAGCTTACATTTAGGAACTCAGTGGTGTGCAAGAAGTCAGAGGTGCAAACAAGAATGGGTGTATATCAAAGGACTGTGGGACGTCTCGCGTTGGGCGCTCACGAGAATACGACGACTGAGAATGTAAAGGGGGACATGGGGTGGACAGGCTTTCTAGTGAAGCTCAGAGCAAAATCAGATTTGAAGAAAGGCTTGGGAAAATGAAGCAGAGTAGATGGGCTGGAAAAGTGTTCAGGTATTTTTATAGGAAGAGAGTGCACACAAAGTGGAGAAAAAGAACTAGGAGGCTCACCAGTAAATATACGGCTGGAAGTGCGGGTGACACGACAACAAAAAGCATTAAGCGAAACGTCAGAGAGGCCGAGAGGACTTATTAGATGACAGTGATGGAAAAGAAGCCGGCACTCAGTAACTATCGAAAGGGCAAGAACGAAATAAGTCGGGAGAGGTCTTATCATAATTCAAGGGGAAGCACGTTACTGTTCGAAGCGAGGTCGGGTTGCCTCAGAACACGTAAGTCATAAAGCGAGATTCGGTAAACAAGAAGAACAATGGCGTAACGAGTGGGTCGTCCAGTGCTCCAACCCATTACAAAAGCTTGTTCTATTTCTAATATTAACTGTGGCGCAAACCCACTTCAGGTATAATTCCTCATCGTCGTCAACCACTGCATGAACAATTAGCACAAAATTCCTTACAAGTGTTTAGAGGATACCACGCTTCTCAGAATGACGAAATTTCAACACATTTCAGGGACGCGCGGGAAGGAGACTATGCAAAATAGGCTGTCTGAAGCATGTATTGAGCCTCAAAACAAGAACGTTTCTTTTTATTTTCAATTCTAAACAATTGTGCCTTTATTTTTGTTTGAGTTGGTGGTACAGCGAAGATGTTTATCACCGTGTTGTGGCGACAGAGCTTCTGACGTCGTTGACGTCGTGTCTGGCAACATAAGCTATTATGCGAGCGAGTGGTAGCAGGTTTCGATTTGATGTCACGTGAACGTTAATCAT